ATTTGAGCGCTGGCCAGTTCATGACTGCCAGGGGGTTAAATTTAAAAGCTAATTTTTTACCAAAATTATTAGGAAGACAGAAAGGTTAAAGTAAAATGAATCTGAGCACTGAAGGGAATGCAGTATACTGGACAAGACAGCAGTGTTGGGGGCATTTTTCTCTGCCACGACTAGGCACATAACTTGGAGCAAGTTACAGTGTTTATCTTTAAACTTGAGTCTCCTCATTGGTGAATTAAAGATCGCAGAGTTGTTTTGAAAATTATGAGAATGTCAGTAAAAGTGTTCAAAACAGTGAAAAGCGTAAAATAAAAGTTCAATACATTATTGTTATTACTATCATTGGGGAATACATAAAAATGTCATTTTTGCTGTCTTCTCTCTCTCTGTTATAATGGATGTATTTAATCTTTTGTAATTTATAAACCCCTTTAAGAATCTGATGTAAAACTATAGTCTGTTTCTCCAGAAAAGTTCACATATGCACACATTCAATATTTTGCGATTCCAGAGTTTCAAGGACTCCCTGGATTCTTAAAAGTTCTGCTCTCACTTATCTTTCTATTCTCCCTTACTGTCATTTTGAAGTTCTGTGGCTATCTATATTTTACAACCACTTAATTAGTCTTAATCACAGCTTCCGAAAATAAAAAAGCCAACTCTGTAAAACTATCAGCATTTATATTTCAGATCTGATAAAATTTAAGATCAAGGTAATCAGTCAATCAAAACATTACAGTCTGTTTTAAGCCTATTAGCCCCTTTCCAAAAGAGTGATTCTAAGTTGATAGTAGAGTTCTCAGAACACATTAGCTCTTAGTAACTGTATTAAAAATGACAGATCCATTACCAGGACACGATTCAGAACATATTTAGCCCATGAGGTTGACACTGAACTAATTATCTTCTCCAACAAACTCAATCTTCTTCCTGCATTCTCCATTTTGAATTATTGGGTCAATCATTAATTCATTTACCCATTCAGCAACTATACTAAGTGCTGGCAAGGAATAACCAAACAAATCAGGCCCTACCTTTCAGGAGGAGAAATGTAGGTAAGCAAATCAAGGGTTCTGGGGACTAGAATGAAAATATGAGCCAGGTGTTGGGCAGTGGAGTACATTGTATGATTTTTTCCCCAGGTATTCATTTTGCCCTTCTCTAGAGGTAAACCTCCCAACCTCCCTGATGTCCGGCTTGGCCATGGGACTGCTGTGGCCAATGAAATATGAGCAGGCAAGTTGTACGTCACAAGTGAACAGAAGCTTTAAATATAACCATGTGTTTTGACTAGGTGTTTTATTTGCATTCTGATATCTGCCACAAGGAAGAGTGTATCTCAGGGGACATCTGTTCTTTCAGCCTGGGTCCTGAGATGGAGAGGCAGGCAGAGCAAATCTGTAGCCAACCTGCAGCCCGGAGCAGAGTTGCACCCCTCAGCCTTCATATAATGAGCATGAGATAAGTGTTTGTTATTCTAATTTGGAGTTGTTAGTGCAGCAAAACCTAACCAATACAGATGCGCTTAAAGAAGAGCATATTCATTTCTACCTGAGGAGACAGTGCAGCCAAAAACATTTTGAAAAGCTAATGATACTGGTAGGGTTAGTATGGAGGTTGTACAGGTATCTTAGTAACCTCATGCTGCAATAACAAAATACCATTGACTAGGGTGGCTTAAACCACAGAAATTTACTTTTCTCGCAGTTCTGGAGGCTGGGAAGTGATTTGGGTGCCAGGTGATTCGGTTCCTAATGAGAGCTCTCTTCCTGGATTGCAGATGGCTGCCTTCTTGTTGTGTTCTTACATGGCAGAGAAAGAGAAGGCTCTCTCCTGTTTCTTCTTATAAACGTATTAATCGCATTCATGAGGGCTCCACCCTTGTGACCTAATTACCTCCCAAAGGCTCCATCTCCAAATACCATCACAATGGGGGCTGGGATGTCGGCCTATGAATGCTGGGGAAAAACACAACTCTGTCCATAGCAGTAGGTTTTGAAGTAAGGTACAGAGATTGAGGCATCTGGATTGATCATTGTTTTAGCCTACTTTGTGCTGCTATAACAGAATACCACAGGCTGAGTAATTTATAGCGAATACAAATTCATTTGACTGAAAGTTCTAGGAAGACCAAGATTGAGGGGCCACATCTGGTGAAGGCATTCTTACTCTGTCATAACGTAGAGAAAGGCATCACACGGGTGAGAGAGCAAGGCAGGGCAAGACAAGGTTGAACTTGCTTTTATAACAAACCCACTCCTGCCGTAACAACTCACATCCATTCATGAGGACAGAGCTCTTACGACCTAAACAGCTCCCAATAGGCCCCACCCCCGACATTGTTGTATTAACTTTCCAAGACACGATCTTTGGGGAACACATTCAATCCATAGAAGTTATGAAGGGCCTAGTACAGCAAACTAAGGAATTCGTATCATATCTTTAACACGTGACCTTTAACATCATTTTAAGCAAAGGAGCAAAAGGGGCCTAATTTGCATTTTTAAAAAATTATTTAATCATATTGTGGTTGTGTGGAGGATTTATACAGATATAAGGCCAGTCCCAAAGATATTAGATGATTACAACAGTCCAGGTGAGATCCTTGAAGCTTTGCAGCCAGGCTGGCCACATGGCGTGATTCAGCAGCCCTGATTAGCTCCAGAGGGGGTAAGGGGGTCGTGGGAGGCATGATAAGGAGTACGATTTCAAGGACTAGAATACTGATAACACACAGGAAGTGAAATAAAGAGAGGAACAAAGAATCACTCCTAGATTTTTGCCTTAGATAACAGGATCAATGGCAGTGTCACTAACCAGTGTAAGAGAATAATAGGAAGAGGCAAAGAAAAATAAATCATTTAGTCTTGGATATTCTGTGCTGAGGTTCCTTTGGGACACTGAGGTCCGTGTGCCAACAGAGAGGTTCAAATCGGAAATCCTGCTGTGGAGTGAAGGGCATCATCCTAGGAACGTGCAGGTAAAGGGAACTGACAGGCCCTGAGAGCCACTAATAGCTGAAGCAATGAGAAGCTGAGGAAGAGAAGCCCACAGAGGAGACAGAGATGAAATGATCAGGGAAGTAGGAGAAAAGTGAAGGGATGCTAGTGTCACGGGAAAGAGTGTGGGTACTGATGTACTGAATCTTCTCTCCACTGAAACCCAAGGTGAAAAAGGGATGCCTCCAAACTGAGATGTAAAGTAGCCCCCAAAGAGAAGGGAACCCTTCACCAGCCATAGCTACTAACAGCCACAGAGAAAAGATGACCCATCACCATGACAGGAAAACACTCCTTTGACAATCACAAGTAAAGTAATGAAGTGGCCAACACAGTGCAATAGGAAGAGCAAGCGCCCACTGCCATGACCAAAGAACCTCTGGCTCTGTTGTGGCCATATTTGTATTTAAAATGCAGTTTGAAAGTGGGGGTTTCTGCATGCTAGTGACTTCCGTTTTGCACAACTATATGGGAAACTTGGGACTGCTAAGTAATGACTAGGAGTTGGGGTGCCATTGACTCTCAGCGTGTCAGAGGGGGCAAGTCAGCCTGGAGTCAACGTCCATCAGTTCAGTTATTTAAAAAATGGATTGTAACCAAAGGGAGATTCAGTTGATTGCCACTTGCAAAACCGAATAACAAGGATGAGTTGTGATAGAAAGTCAGTGACTTTATTTTTCCATAGCTAGCAGTGGAGAAACTGTCCAGGCTCCTGCCTTAATGAATTCATATCAAATTTTCAAGCAAAAGGCAAAGGAGTTAAAAAGAGGAGCTTTTGGGTGAAGAACATGCAAGATGGGCGAGGCTGTGCAGGTCTACATGACTCGTTCCGATGACTTAAGTTACTGCTCCATCCGGTGAATAGACTGATGCCATCTTGGGCTCAACCAGGTTATAAATTAACTGTGTCCTTGAAGCAATTTCCTGGTGGGGGAGCATTCCATAGGCACCTAGATTGTCTCAAGATTCAGTCTTTGGAACTTGTAAGCAAACATAGAATTAGATAAGCTACCAATGCAAGGGAGGGCCTGGTGGAAAGGAGCATAAAGGTTATTATTTCATTACTAAGAACTTAACACAAAGGGCAACAGAAAGAAAGCTTAAAAACAGGGTACCTGGTTACAATATGACCTTGGCCAAGTTTGTTCATTCGTCTATTTGTTAGTAGTTTATCAGTGCTTACTTTGTGCCAGATGCTATGCCAACAGTTGGAGATACAGTAGTGAAGAAGATTGACAAGTCTGCCCTCGTGGAATACTAATTTCTGGAAGGAGATGCAGGCATTAATCATGTAAATAAATAAAAAGATAATATCTACCTGTGATAGTAATATTAAGGAAGTAAACAGGCAGATGAGATAAACTAGTGGCTCTCAAACTCGAGCAGCACGCATCAGAGTCATAGCTGTAGGGCTCCTTGAAACAGATTGCTGGACTCCATCCTCAGAGTTTCAGTGGGTCTGGGGTATGGCCTGAAAGTGTGCCTATTTCACGAGTTCTCAGGTAATGGGGATGCTGCTGATCCAGGGATCAAACCTTGAGAACCAAAGAGATGGAGAGTAGCTAGAGGAGGTTTTTAAAATAATAGTAAATAATTCTTATGTGGGCTTTATGGCATTTCAGGTGCTAGTTTAAATGACTATGTTAACCCATTTAATACTTTTTTTTTTTTTTTCACTCTTGTTGCCCAGGGGCTGGAGGCTGGAGTCAGCAATGATGTGATCTCGCGGCTCACTGCAACCTCCTGCCCGCCAGGCTCTCAAAGACGGATTCTCCTGCTCAGCCCTTCCGAGTAGTTGGGATTACAGGCATGCACCACCACGCCCAGCTAATTTGTGTATTTTCAGTAGAGACAGGGTTTCTCCATGTTGATCAGGCTAGTCTCGAACTCCCAACCTCAGGTGATCCGCCCACCTCAGCCTCCCAAAGTGCTGGGATTACAGACATGAGCCACCACACCTGGCCCCCCTTTAATTCTTATAACAATTTTGTGAAGGAGAAACTAACAGGGTGCCCATTTTAGAGATGGGAACACAGACACAGAGCTGGTGTTAAGCCTGATGCCCTAGACCTTAAGGCCATTGAAAGGAGGTATTGCAATTCAGCCCTCAGGCAGCAGGCTGCAGGGCTTAACTACTCTCCCTTCCTGTGATTTGCAAGTAAGGGCTGACTTCTCTGAGCAGGCGGTGTTTGAGTTGAGACCTGCAGGCTCAGAATGAGGAACCATGTAAAGAACTGGGGAGAGAGCATTCTCAAGCAGAGGAAACAGCAAATGCAAAGAACCAGGAGTAGAAGAGAGCTCAATGTTATTAAAGTAAAGCGACAATGTGGCTGGAGTTAGAAACGTGGTACAGTAAGAGATTGCAGTGTCAGGTAGATAGGATCAGTGGACACCTGTGGGCCACATTTTATTTTAAAAGCAACTGGAAGTAAAACAAATAATATTTTAAATTAAATGTTTCATTTTAACAAATAAATGTAAATTCACATGCAGTTGTCAGAAATAATACAGAGAGAGTGGGTGTTCCCTTTACCCACTTTCCCCCCAGTGGCTGCATCTTGTAAATCCATAGTGATGCCACAATGAGGACATTATCACTGATAGAGTCAAGATACAGAACATTTCCGTCACCACAAGGACTCCCCATCTTGTCCTTTGATAGCCACTTTCACTTTCCAGTCACCTTCTTCCCTTCCTCCTTCTTTAACTTCTGTTAACCACACATCTGTAATAGACTTTTATAATTTTGTCATTTCCAGAATGTTATATAAATTGAATTGTACAGTATAACTTTTGCGATTTACTTTTTTCACTAAGCATAATTCACTGGAGAGTCCGTTGTCCACTTTACTGTATATGTCAGTAGTTCATCCCTTTTTATTGATGAGTAATATTCCATGGTAGGATGAACCACAGTTTAACTATTCACCTGTCAAAAGACAACTGAGTTATTTCCAATTGAGGGCTATTACAAACAAAGCTTCTATAAGCATTCATGTATAGGTTTTTGTATGTCTTCATTTCTCTGGAATAAATGCACAGGAGTACAATCGATGGGTCATAAGCTAGTTGCATGTTTAGTTTTTCAAGAAACTGCCAAACTGTTTTCCAGAGTGGCTATGCCATTTTACATTCCCACCAGCAATGTACGAGTGATTCCATTTCTCTGCATCCTCACCAAAACGTGGTGTTGCTACTATTTTTGATTTTACCCATTCTGACCCATATGTGGTAATATCTCATTACAGTTTTAATTTACATTTCCCAATGGCTAATGATGGTGAACATCTTTTCATGTGCTTATTAGCCATCTGTTTCTCTTCTTCAGAGAAATGTCTCGTCATGTCTTTTGCCCATGTTCTAATTGGATTGTTCAATTTTTTATTCTTGAGTTTTGAGAGTATTTTGTAAATTCTACCTTCTAGTCCTTTATAAGATATGTGGTTTACAAATATGGCCCCCCACTCTGTAACTCATCTTTTCAACTCTTCACAGAGTTTTTCGCAAAGCGGAACTTTTTAATTTTGATAAAATACAGTTTATCAATTTTTCCTTTCATGAATTGTACTTTTGGTGTCAAGTCTAAGATTCTTAGTCCAGCTCAAGGTCCTAAAGATTTTCTCCCATTTTAAAAAACAGGATAAGTTTATGTTTTACATTTAAGTCTGTGATCAATTTTGAGTTAATGTTTATATAATGGGTGAGGTTTATGGTGAGGCTTCATTTTTTTGTTTGTGAATGCCCAATTGCTTCAGCATCATTTCTTGGAAAACTTATCTTTCCTCTGATGAACTGTTTTTGCACCTTTGTCAAAAATCAGTTGGGCATATTTGTAAGAGTCTATTGCTGGGTTTTCTATTCTGTTCTATTGATCTATATGTTGATCCCTTCACCAGTGTCTCATAGTCTTGATTACATAATAGGTCAAAATTGGGTAGATTGTTTGCTCTTCCTTAATTTTTTTGAAATATTTTAGCTATACTACTTCCTTATTTTATATAAATTTTATAACAATCTTGACTATATCCACAAAAAAGTCTTATTGGAATTTTAGTAGAAATTGTGTTAAACCTGTATATCAATTTGGGGAGCACTGACATCTTTAATATGTTGAGTCTTCCAATCCATGAACACAGTATATCTCTCCATTTTTTAAAATTTCTTTCATCAGTGTTTTGTAGTTTTCATCATACCAGTGCTATTCATGTTTTTATAGATTCACATCTAAGTATTTCATTTTTGTTTTTAAATAATGATAAATAATGTTAGTATTTTTATTTCAGTCTTCAGGGGTTCATTGATAATATATGAAATACAATCAATTTTTGGATGTTTATCTTATATTTTGCTGAACTTACTCATTAGCTCTAGGATTTTACATATATATTTTTTTTGGCGGATTCTTGGGTATTTTCTAAGTGGGTTATTATGTCATCTTCAAATAGGGACAGTTTTATTTGTTTCTTTCCAAATTGTATGTCTTTTATTTCTTTTTCTTGCCTTATTATACCAGCTAGGACATCCAGCACTATGTTGAATATGAGTAGTAAGAGTAAACAGTCTTGCTTAACTCCTGATAATAGGGAGAAAACATTCAGTCTTTCACTATTGAATTTAACATTGGCTATAAATTTTTTTGTAGGTGCTCTTTACAGTGTTGACAAAGTTCTCCCTATTCCAATTTTTCTAAGAGGTTTTTTTAAAATCAGGAATGTATTGAATTTTGTCAAATGTTTTTTCTATCATGATTGATATGATCATGAAATTTTACTTCTTTAGCCTGATAATACGTTGACTTATTATCAAATATTAAATCAGCTTTGTTTCCTGCAATAAGCCTCACATTGTTGTGGTATATAATTTATTTTATATGTTGCTGAATTCTATTTGCTAATAGTTTGTTAAGGATTTTTGTGTCTATACTCATAAAGAATATTGGTCTGTAATTTTCCTTTTTTGTGCTGTTTTTGTCTAGTTTTGATATTGGGCAATACTAGCTTTTTAAATAGTGAATAGAGAAGTTTTTCTTTCTTTCTATTTTCTGAAAGAGATTGTGTAGAATTGGTTGTTAACTCTTCTTTAAACATATGGTAGGATTCTCTGATGCAACCATCTGGGCCTGAAGATGTTCTGGGGAATTTTTAAATTACAAATTTGATTTCCTTAGTAGTTATAAAGCTATTCAAACAATCCACTTCATGTTGGGTAAGTTGTGGTCATTTTTGGTTTTCCAGGAATTGGTTTATTTTGTCTACATTTTCAGGTATATGTGTGTAGAGTTATTCATAGTATTCCTTTATTACCCTTTTGATGTGTTCAGAGTTAATAAAGATAGCCTGTTTCCTTCCTAATGTTGGGAATTTGTGTGTTTTCTCTTTATGTCTTTGTCTGTTTTGCAAGATGTTTGTCCATTTTATTGATCTTTTCAAAGAGCCAGTTCTCTGTTTCACTGATTTTTTACTACTTTCTGTTTTCAATTTTATCGTTTTGTATTCTAATCTCTTTTATTCCTTCTCTTTGTTTCGGTTTATTTTGTAATTTTTTTAGGTTCTTGAAATAGGAGCTTAGATTATGGATTTAAGAGTTTTCCTTTTTTTAATGTACACATTCAGTGTTACAAATTTCCCTCTCAGTACTGCATTAGCTGTGTCCCACAAATTTTGATACATTGTCATTTGACTTGCATTTAGTTAGTTTTCTTTATTTCCTTTGAGACTTCCTGTGTGACCCATAGATTATTTAGTTTCCATGTGTTTAGAGATTTTCCTCTTATCTTTTTTATTGATTTCTATTTTTATTTCAATGTAGTTGAAAAACACACTATATCCTTTTCATTCTTTTAAATTCATTAAGGTTTGTTTTATGGCCCAAGATAGAGTCTATCTCACATATATTCCATGGACACGGCTATTATTGGATGAAGGGTTCTATGGATGTTGATCCAATCCTGGTGCTCAGCAGTGTTGAGTTTTCTATGTCCTTGCTGATTTCTGTCTAGGTATTCTGCTAATTGTTGAGAAAGGAGTATCAAACTTTTCAACCATGATTGTGGATTTGTCTATTCCTCCTTTCAGTCCTAATAATTTTTGTTTCACATATTTTGCAGTTTTTGCTTCACATATTTTGCAGCTCTGTTGTTGGGTGCATACGTATTTAGGATTGCTACGTCTTCTTGGTGGATTGACCCTTTTATCATTATAAAATATCCCTCTCTGTCTCTGGTCATTTTCTTCACTCTGGAGTCTACTTTATCTCATGTTAATAGAGCCACTCCTGCTTTCCTTTGATTAATGTTTGCATGATATGTCTTTTTCCATCTTTTTACTTTTACTTGCTTAAATTGGTATATTTAGATTATTTGTATTTGGTGTAACATATTAATATGTTAGGGCTGATGTTGACCACTCACTCTCAAGGGAGGGTGCTCCTTGTTACTGCTGGGTAGCAATGGGGATCTGGTTCCCCAAGTAGTCTCCACCGACATTGCAGTGGGTATGGCTTCATTACCGTCGGATAATCATGAAAGTCCTGGCTCTCCACCCTAGTAGAGAGAGAAAGGAATGACTTATTACTGCTGAGGTGTCCCGGGTGGTTTCCACTGACATTGCGAGAAGGGCAAACCTCAAAACTGGCCAGCAGAAATGAAAGTCCTAACTCCCTACCTGGCCTTCTCTGACACTACCCCAGTATGTTTGGAGAGATGCTGTGTTTTTACAGCTATGTGAGGGTAGATTATTTATTGTCTAATCGCTTTCGTCTTGCTGGATTTCCCTTTCCTGATCCTTTGACTAGAGAGAGCAGGATTTTGTTGGGACTTTTTTTGTCTGCTCTTGTTGTTGGCATTTCCATATTGCTATCTTCCTCAGCTAAAAGTCTGGAATATGTGAAGCAACAGGAAAACCCAGAAAACTCACCACAAGTTCATTTCTAGGGTTCTGAAGTCCCTTGACAATCTGCTTTCTTCTCTCCACCTTTCAGATTCTTTTTGTGTTTGTTTTATATATAATGTCCAGGCATCTTAGTTGTTCTTAACAGGAGGAAAAGGGCAAAATATGTTTACTCCATCTTCCTGGAAGCAGAACACCAAAATGATTTTTAAGAAGGCAATTAGACTGATTTGTATAAACACTCCTTTGCATACACCTTGCCCTATTTTGTGTCACATAGTACTCACTTGGCAAAAGTACATCCCTGGTTTAATCCAACTCCCCACCTACTCTGCTTCTGCACGAATGCAGTTGAAATTGCTGAAGCAAAGCACACAACAGACTGTCTCATTTTATATGACGACTGCAGACATACTTCCTTTGTGTCCTTAATATGGCCTACTATCCTACTACATTTGCCTTGTCCATTCTATCTGTCCCCCATCTGTACCCAATACAACTATTTTACTTTTCCTTTCTCCTCACTCCTCCAACACTTCTTTTTCCATCTTTACCCTCAACTCTCAGCTATTGATCTTGCTTCCTGTGTCACTGAGAAAGCTGAAGCAATTTGAGGGGAATCTCCACAAATTCTTCATTCCACTTTTACTCATCCACCACAGTGTACTCATGTACTCTATCTTCCTATCTGTTGCTGTAAATAAACTATCTTGGGTTCCCAATTACCCCAACATTTAGTGGCTTAAAACAATAAGCATATATCATCCCACAATTTTTATGCGGCAGGAGTGAAGGAGCAACTTAACTGATGGTTCTGGCTCACAGTCTTTCATGAGGTTTCTGTGAAGATGTCAGCTTGGGCTTTAACCATTGGAGGCTTGACTGGTTCTGGAAGATCTGCTTCCAAGATGGTGCACTCACAGGGCTATTGGTAGGAGGCCCCAGTTCCTCACCAGAGGAACCTCTCCACAGGGCTGCTTGAGGGTCCTTACAGCATGGCAGCTGGTTTCCCTCAAACAAAGTGATCCGAGAGAGCAAGAGGGAAGCCACAATGCCTTTTATGACCAAGTCGCAGAAGTCACACACCATCACTCTGTCACATTCCATTTGTTAAAAGCGGTTCACTAAAACCAGCCCGTATTCAGAGGAAACACAATTAAACTCCACCTATTGAAGGAAATAGTGTCAAAGTATTATGGGCAAGGTTTTTTTGTTTGCTTGTTTTTTTTACTTTTATTTTAGGCTTGTGGGTGGACATGCGTTAAAACCACATGATATAAAGCAAATCCCTTCATTTAGAGGACATCACTCTAACAAGTGTCTCCCTTTCTCCTACATCATCCATTTTTACATCTTTACTTGATCATTCTCATCATTTAACAAACTTGTCAATTTTCCCAGCTTTTAAAAGAAACTCCCCCAGATACACTCAAATATTTTTCTTGCCTTTGCAGTAAAACTCTTCAAAGGAGCTGCCATTAGTGTCTTCCCACTCTCTCTTAAACCCATTCCAATCAAGCTTTCGTTACAATTCATGAAAACTCTTCTTGTCAGGTCACCAATGACCTCAATACTGCTAAACCCAATGATCAGTTCTGAGTCCTCATATTATTTGATAATCAGTAACAGTGATCACTCTCTCTTCCTTAAAACGCTTTCTTCATTTGGCTTCTAGTTCACCTCAGTCTCTTGGTTTTCCTCCTATTTCAGTGATTGCTTCTTTTCAGTCTCCTCCACTGGTTTCTCTTCTCTGCAACTTATTAATGTTATAATGCATCAGTTCTAGGACACTGCTTCTTTGTTTATCTCAAATTACCCTCACTATCTTAGTAATTTCATACAATCTCATGGCTTTAAATATCATATAGGCCATGACCCACAACTTTATAACTGCAGTGCAGTCCTGTTAGCTGAACTCTTGACTCACACTTTCAACTGTTTATTCAACATCATCTCTTCTCAAATGTTTGGTAGATGTCTAAAAATCAACATGCCTCTGAGATGTCTATGTCATACCACAGATCTGCTATGCACTTAGCCTTCCTTGTCTCAGCAATGGCAACTCCATCTTTCCAATTGTGCAAACAAAAATCTGGAAGTTATGTTTGACTTGTCTCTATGTCTTATAGCACACAGCCAATCCATCAGTAAATCTCTTTGATTTTTCTTTTCAAAACGTATCTGGAATACAATCTCTTTTTACTATCTCCATGATCACCTAGGCCTTTCATGTCTTTTCTCAGATGTCACCTTCTCATTGAAGCCTATCCTGACCACATTGTTTAAAATTGCTTCCCTCACTTCTGCCCAACTTTATACTGATTTATTTTTCCTTTTCCCCACATATAGCACATATCATCTTCTAACATACTATGTAATTTGTTTATTTATCATATTGATTGTCTCCACAAAGGCAAGGGTCTTTGTTTTGCTCACTAGAGGGTCCCAATTTTGTTTGCTTCACTGGTGTTACTTTTAGGTACACCTATAGAGGCATTCATAGCATGTAGTATTTGCTCAGTAAATATTTGGTTCTGAACAAACCTTGCTTATGTTTTTTTTAAAAAAAATACCCCTATGGCTGCTGTGTGAATATAGATCGATGGGAGTGGAGGGAAAATACATATCCCTTAGAAATGTTTTCACCTGCTAGTAATAGACAAAAATCAGACCACTTTGGATGAAACAAGAGTTATTTTCCCTTAGAATATGATGTGAGAGATGTAACTTTTGGACTTAGTGTATCAGGGCTAATGCCTTTGTGACTGTAGTCCCTTTTTTCTCATTCTCACAACTGGTTACAGCAGCTCCGGCCATCAGATTTACATTCTAGGTGAGGAGATGGAGGAAGGTAAATAGGGAGTTTCTGAGAGTCAGGGACATTTTGCATTAGCTTACACAAAGGTGGAGATGAAGAAATGCAAAGAGATTTTGCAATATATGTTTGTTATAAATTGGGAGAATAGTAATGAAAAAAGTGACTCGTAGGTTATTTATATAAGTGATTGGGTAAATGGTGGAGTCATTTATCTAAGTGGTTCAAATGCAAGGAGAAAGAGATACGAAGAGAAAAACTCAAGATCTCCAAACTGGGCATACTAAATCAGAGATGCTCACTCATTATCCAGGTGTAAATTTCAAGGAGGCAGTTGGATATACAAGTCTGATGGTAATGGGAGAGGTTTGGGCTGGAGAGACACACTGGAGAGTCATGAGCACATGGGTGGTATTTAAAGCCATTGTACCAGATGAGATCACCAGCGAATGTAGATAGTGTTCAAAATTGAGTCACAGATAAAGGGGAGGAGGAGAAAAAGCTAAAAGACTGAGAAGGAGAAGAAAGGGGAAAATCAGGAAAATGTTGTGTCATTGAAATCAGAGAGCAGAACGTTTTAAGAACAGAATTACTTAGCCTTTTGGGATCCCAGTTTTCTCCTCTGTGAAATGGGGTGAGAATAGCTATCTCTTAGGGTGTTTATGAGGATGAAATGCTATCATGTGTGTAAATATCGGAATAGTGGTTCACCATGATAGGCACACAATCAAGGTCTGCTCCCCACCCTTTGGGGTAGCCTCCTAGCCTATGTTCCCAGACCCATGGAGGAAAAAACACTTTCCAGATAACCTTTTTATATTCCAGCGGTCTATGTTGATTCAATATGGTAAATAGCCATTTGTCTGGAAAAATATTTATGCAGGATGACTAGAACAAATATTGATTTTGTTTTATCCTGGTATCCATATAACTCAAGGACAAGGGAAATTCAGCACATGAATTTTAGAAACAGTAAATGTGTTGCTCATATTTTCGAGTCTGTATTAGTAATGAATAAATTAACACTTGCTTGATGAATAAACAAATGAATGAATCAAGTGAAAGGGAATGACGTAATGTCTATTCCAGGGCAGTATTAAGCTGTTTGTAAGTGTATGTGTTAATTTTCTTAAGGTGGTTGGCATAGTTGGTTCCAAAATGGTGTTATCAAGTTAATATTGCAGGACTAGTCCTTGCTCCAATACCACATATTGAACTATTGACTACCCAGCAATGGACCAGTGACAAACCCATCACTACTGTAGGAAACAGTAAAAACTCAACTCAAAGAAGATAAACTCTACCTTAGATCGCGAATTTAGAAGATGTACTCTACTTTCTAGGGAGTGAATATAGAATTTACATCCTCTTATATATTAAGGCCAGATTTAGCTTCTGGGGACCACTTCATGCAGTTTCTGCAAGTATATTTGTGGATATGTCTACATGTCTGTGCAGGCAAGGTAAATTCATGCCTTCGGACAAAGGAGTGCAAGCCTACACTGATCCTAGGAAAGATTTACTCACTTACAGTCAAGTGAATGAAAATCAGAGTGGAAAAATCAAGGGATGTAATTTGAAGTGAGAACAGCATTGGAAGCATTGGAGTTTGTTTTATTTATACTGATACTGAGTTCTTGGAGCCAAGCATTTTTTCTCCTCGGTTGGTGGCTCTTTGTTGCTTTTGGCTCTTTTTTTAAATTTTTTTTTCTGCTTGCTTTGAAGCCACGCTGAATAAACCCATAGCAATAATCAAATGGAGGATTTAAATATGACCCACGTGAAACTGTTCTGACAGTCGGGGTACCTGAGAACTGTCCAGCAACACTTAATTTACCAACTTCCTTTTCCCCTCACTAGTGAGGGACGTATGTACAGACTTCAGGGAACATGGTTGCATAATGGTTATAGGATCTAATTTAAACTTGTTTTTAAATAGCAATAAAATGTATACTGGGTTGAAGAATCTATCTCACAGCTGCCTACAGCCATTTTTTTAAATCACTCTTTTATGCAGCATCCCTGGAAAGTCATCCATTAACCCAAGAGAGGGAGCATGGACTCCCACAAAGGAAGCATTTTGTTGCCCACTGAACACATATTGAAAGCACTGTTCTGTAGTTTGAAAATCTTCAATCTGTTGCACCCTTTAAATCTTGGCTGGCGAAGACAGGACCTAACAGATCACATTCCCAGAGTTTTACTGGCAGTACTGATAAAATAAAATGAAGAAGTCAGTAAAATAAAGGCCACATTGCTAGTGTGTGAAGTTCAAGGAACCCTGGTCAAAAATTTAATGTTTGTTAAATGGAAAGGGAAACAGCCTATCCTCCAGTGCCTGCTAAAAATGTAATGATTTTCCTGGCATGCTTTAAGGGAAGGGCAAATCATAGTTTTGAGTTCAATTTCATGTGGCCCCTTGAGAAAGGAAACTGAAAACAGCAAAGAAAAACGCTAATCAGGAGCAAGATATTTGCTGCTAGTTTTCCCTCACAACCCATGCCAACCAGTGGAACAACAGCTAATATTAATGGTTTTTTTTCTCAGTGCCTTTGGGAGGCACTGTGAGCCCAGGTGAGTCTAAGCTAAGCACTGGCCAGGTGCAGAGAAAAGAGACTGGCAGGAGGTAGGGTCTGTAATGTCCGGCAGCCCGTGTCGGAGCTTTAGATTAGGAGAGAGTTAGGTGACGGGCTTGTGGACCAGGGATAGCTTTGGAAGGGGGTGGGGAGGGGACTGTGGTTATAATAAGAGCTAATTCTGATTAGGCACTAGCTGCATACCAGGCACTGTATCAAGTATATTCCACAGATTATCTTTTCATTTCATAGAGGTTAGTTACTATTATTACTCCTGGGTTCACAGATGAAGAAACTGAGGCTCTGGTAGGTTAAGGGTCTTGCCCAAGGTTCCCCCTGCAGTGAGTGGGGGAGCCAGGGTTCACAACCAAAAGCTATGACTCCAGGATTTAGCCTCTTAACACACGGTGCTAGATCAGGCCTCAGGGACTCAGTGGCTGAGTCTCTGTGTTGGGCATGACCATGACATCCTCTTCTGTTTTCTTCCTTCTGCCACTCTTCTGCAGACCTGGCCATCACCCAGGCTCAAACACAGATAATGGGAGAACAGAGACAAGTGAGACAGCCAAGGAGAGGAGGTAGGCAGTGCAGGGTCCAGAGACAGGAAGAACTAGGCACCTGGGAACTCGACAGCTGACGGGAAGGACCAACACAGCTCATGTTGGCGCTTCAGAAATCCGCTGGCATTAACGTCCAGAGAACTTCTCTACAGTTGTCCCCAATTATTTCATCAAGGAGTCAAAGTAACAAAACTGGGATAGGATAATGGCCAAATAGTGAATTAAAATCTACACTATGAAGTAGTGTGTCCAAGAGTTTCATTTTCATTGGTATTTTTGGCCATCGTTAAGGAAATAGGTTAGTATGTTGCAAATTGTTTACTACTGCCTTCAAATCTCCAAAGAGCTTCAGTGAGGGAGGGAGCTGATTGGTTCTATGTGGCTTCTAGAGAGGCATTAATTCCTATTAGTTCTATTGGGAAGGACTGTCTATCAGTGTACAACCAACCCCACAAAGCAGGACTTCACCACAGAGCACAGCCGAGCAGAAGCAAGGGCACTGGTCAGGACTCAGCTGCACATTATAATCTCCTGGGCAGTTTTAAGAAAGTCTGATGCCTTGGTCTTACCCCCAGAAATTCTTACTTAGATGATGTGAGGTGGAGCCCTGGCGTTAAGATCTTTAAAATCTCCCCCACGTGATTCCGATATTCAGCAAAGTTTGAGAACCGCTGACTTAGATATCTCATCAGGGATGCTGCAGCACAAATTGAGTAGGAGGTTGGTCCAGATTATTTCTAAAGTCCCTTTCAGTTCTAAGATCCTAAATTGCTAACCAAGGCCATTCACTGTGAGTTTGCTGTTTATGATGGCTATGGATAATTTTATGATTAATTATTAGTGACAGTGGACTACAATTTTTTACATGTAGAAAAGTGACATGCTGTAAGCAACAAAAGACCACATCCACTATTTTGGATTTCTGTCTCTTTGAAATTATGTTTAAGGAAAAGAAGCTAAGAAAATGTACGATAGATTTAGAATGCTATTAATCCGAAACCACCCTTCCTCCCTGGCTCTGTATCCTGGCACACTGGAACATGGAGAGTTTCTGGAGATTAATAATAACAGCGCACATGGATCTACTTGCATCTCGGATATCCAATCTCATTGTTTCAAGGGAAAAATGATATTGGACTTAGACGAATTTTCCAGAGGGAAAGAAGAGTGTGCAGTATGACTGCCAGTTGGAAAGCACAGGCACAGAGCAGACTTCGTCTCCACTTTATATCCCTGACATCTTGCATCGTTTTTCTCACTCCTAGATCTAAGTATTGTATTTGGCAGAAACTGTCAGAATCCCTTCAAACCAGTCTGAACTTCATACAAGGGCCTGAACTAATTCCACATAGGGACTTAGAATCACAGTTGCCAGTGGACTATTTAAAGACAGAAGTGCAGGACTTGTATCAACATAACTGCTTCCAGTAGATGCGGCACGGTTCAAGGAGTCCTGCCTAGTGGAAACAAGTTCTTGGTCTGATTTTAACCTGCCATGATCCCTGCAGCGTGACTTTGGACCAACTATGTCCCCCTCAGTGCTTCAGTAACCTTAGAAGTTAAGCAAACACAGAAATGCTGACTCACTTCAGAGGGGGGCATTGTGAAACCCAGAAAGAGGCCCTGCATTAGTAACACAAAAGGAAGCTCAACTGTGTTTTCATGATCCCAGACTAGAGTCTCCAGAACTTTTAACTTGATATAGCTCTGTGGTTCCCACTGTGGGGCGGGCTGTGACTGACAGTGGAGCTAAAGTAGTTATTCAGCACTTGTCCACAGGAAAATCCTAAAGCTTGATGTTCTGAATATTACCGCCTCTAAAACATATATTGTGGAAAACTGCACTGTTCCTCTGTGAGTTAAGAGTTTAATACATTATATTGATTACAAATCAATTTCAAGCTGTTCAAGTTGAACTTGTCAAACAGCTTTGGCAAAAGAGAATGGGGTTGGCAAACAAATAACTTCCTGGCGTGTGGGGGCAGAATGACTTAGAAACCTCGGAACTCAGGGAAGTTAAGGATGCTGAGAAAAGAGCAACAGGATCTGGGGTCTGAAATGTCCACTCATATAGAGAAGGAAATTTCTATGACTATTGAAATCAGCTACTTGGGCAGGTAAATGATTGGCAAGAACAGAAGGCAGTTAATGAACCATCCATCAGCTTTGGAAGGCAGCAAATGATGGAGAAACCAGAGGGAGGCTGAGACAGAGAGGAAAGCAAGCCATAGCCTGCCTTATCAAAGAAGAATCTTCCCAAATCCTACTGCAAAGAAGAGAAAGAAAATAAATACCACAGTAGGAGATGATGACACATGAAACCAATTGGCTGAACATTATGCCCAAAGAGAAACTGCATTTCACAAGTATATTTTTCTAAGGGACATTTTGGCACCTGATTCATAATCTCTACCTACTCGAACTCTCCTGCTGTCCCAAGCAAGGAAGCATTTTTGTGGAATACCCATCTCTCACTCTTACTTGAAATTTCTTAATTTACTCTGCTCCATTCACCTTCATCTAGGCCCCACTGGAGCAACCCACTCTTCCGGCCACACTGGGATCTTGTTTATGACCCCAAAACAACTCCATCACTGAGACTTTGAACTCTGATCAGCCACACCCCAAACGTATCCTCTTATGTGGTTAACACCCTGTCTCTGCTCTCACTGCCCTTGCCTGTGGAGCCCATGAGGAGCCCATGAGACCTCATAAGATCTCTGCCTTCTTTTTTTTTTTTTTTTTTGAGACAGGATCTCACTTTGTTACCCAAGCTGGAGTACAGTGGTATGATCTCAGCTCACTGCAACTTCCACCTCCTGGGTTCAGGTGATCCTCCCGCCTCAGCCTCCCAAGTAGCTGGGACTACAGGCACACACCACACCTGGCTAATTTTTGTATTTTTTTTACAGACAGGGTTTCACCACGTTGCTCAGGCTGGTTTCGAACTCCTGGACTCAAGAGATCCACCCATCTTGGCCTCCCAAAGTTCTGGGATTATAGGTGTGAACCATGGCGCCCAGCCAAGATCTCTGTCTCACGTATCCTGAACCCATCCATCATTCCCAGGCCAATCAGTTCTCTGGGGGGTTCCACTGCCTCTCCTACATACCCAGAATCATACTATGATGGCTTGTCTATTTAATCGTTCCCTCTCAGTAACCCTAACTCTCACTACACCTACCACATCAAGAGACCCTTCCCCAAATTCGCCCTTCTAATCTCCTGCATCCATGCTGCTGAACACTGCTTGGAGAAAAATAATACAAACATCTAAATTACAGTCCCCACAGTTGGTGGTTTCCAGCTTCTGCTGAGCTTGCAGTGCTGCTTGGCAAGTCTTGCCTTGCTCTGGTCACCTCTCGGCAGCCATTCCACATCCCCAGTGCTCCTGGGAAGCTGCCCTATTCCACCCTGACCCAATCCATCTACTCTCCACCTTGCCTCCCATCCCACAGAAAAGAGGAAGTCAAGACATGTTCAATCTTTCTCTTCTCAGCCTCACCATCAAACTTATCTACAGCTGCATCCAGGCCTGCCTATTTCCCCCTGCTCTGGAAAAAGGAACCTCGCTGGGCATTTGAAATCATTGCCTCCTTCCCTCTCCGTGCCCTCTAGCCTGCTCCCTCCCTTTCCCCTGGCTTCTCTCCCTCCACTTCACACTTGCTCAAGACTCTCTACTCCTCCAAAACAAACAAAAAAGACAACCGTGGCTCCCTTCTATTCCACAACTCCCTCTAACCATTCCATCTCTCCTCTTTCCTTTCCAGCTAACCTTTAAAATTACTTCCATATTCATTGCTGGCAGCTCCTTACCTCCCATTTGTTCTTTGATCCACAGAAATCTGACTTCTGTCCATGCCACAGGAACTGCTCTTGCTCTCACCAATGAGCAAGTTCCAGATCCCAGGGATAGTGTTGAGTTTTTATCTTGCTGAACTTATTTCAGTTTCTTGAAGCCACTTTCTCCCTGGACTGTCTTCAGTTCTCCTTCTGCCTCCTAAACTGCTCTTGTCCCTTAAACGTCGCTGCTTGCCAGGATTCTCTCCCCTTCACTGCTCCCCAGCTCCTGCCCTTGCCTCTGCTGGCACCAGCTTTTGGTCCTTCCTCCATAAAACCACCACCACTATGGACTTTCTTTTCCAAAATGCAAATCTAGTCATGTCGCCACTCTACCTAAAACTCTCTAGTGCCTCCCCAGCACCCACTGAATGGAGGCTCTTCTCCTTGTTGCTGAACACAGGGCTTTTCTCAACCTGGCTGCCAGCAATGTGTCCAGCCTCGTCTCTTTTTCCTGCTGAAAAGTATTCTGTGCTGCAGCTATTCAGAAAAACTTGCACAAGCTCTGTTAAGCAAGGACAACCTATGATAAATACTAACGAAGTAATATTAAATAAAAGGACATTCTAACAGGAGTTACTTACAGAGGGTTCAATTAATGTCTCCTCATCTTCATATTATTTAATATTTACATGATTTTTTTCCTCCAGAGAGGTTTTTTCATACTTCTTCGTCTTTGCATAGCTGTTTCCTCTATTTAGAATGGTCCTTCCCACTTAGTAAATTACTCAACCTTCAAAATCCAGCATAAATGAATGTCCCAACCCCTCCAAAGCCACCCTTTGCTTGCCTCTTTCTGGCCTTGGTCTCCTGGCCCAGGAGAATAGCTGGCTTCCTTTTTTATCCACAGCCTCTTGTGGCACCTCCACTGTGACCCTTGTCTAACTGCACTTCAATGTTTTCCTCAAGTGCCTGTTTCCCTCACTGGTCTGAGAGCTCCCTGAAGGCAGGTACCATGTCTTTATCATCTTCAAATCCCCAAACCAGCCCATCCCTGTCACATAGCAGGCTCGAGGAATGATGAATTTTATTAGGTTAGACCATGTGAAATTGCCATTTTTATAGGTCACAAATAATCAAATACCAGCAATTTCATATGATTTGACCTATTCTTGTAAGTATTTTTGGTGTCTTTCTCTATGAAGCTCATTGTGTAATTAATCCTAGGGAAATTCCTGCAGGATACTATGAGAAATCATGATAATCATTTTATAGGTGGTTCAGTAGGTCAGTGACAGAAGTGGAGCTGGAACTAGATGTTCTTATGGTCATATCCCTCATCTTAGGGTCCACAGTACTAGACTCATGGAATTCTAGAGTGAGAAATAAATTCAGAGGGTCACCTGCCTGGCAGCTCCAGGCAGTGGGACACATAAATCATCCTTAAATGGTTCTCTGTCTTTCCTATCATTTGTGCAAAGTTGAAGATGATATGCTCTCTTGCAATAATAATTTAATATTTCCCTCTCACACCCTCGCCAGGCAGTCCATTTCTAACCCATCTTTCTTTTGCTGCAATATGTCAATTTCCGACTTTACAGAGATAAAAGCAGCTTCAATGTACCCAGCTTATAATAACCCTCCTACTACTTATTACAGCCACTTGTCCTCCCCTCAGTTTTATTTTACTTCTGAAAAAAGTCCCTTCTCTTCTAAACTCTATTCATAGGCTCTTCACATCATTTTAATCAAAAGATTTCAGGATCTTCTAAAACAATATTTCCTAGTTTCATTAGACCATGTTAAAAATGGAATATCCATTAACATCCTCGTGACCTAATGTTCAGCGGAGTGAAATTTGGGAAACAGGGCTCTGTGATGTTCACACATTCCTTTTTAAATGTTAAGATGAAAAATTAGATGTGACTTCCTAGTAAAGACGTCACTTGTATCACCTACAGTACAAAGATGATTTCCCAGCCTTTGCAAGGTCATAATTCTGTTTACATACTTATTATTGCAATAGTCTCTTAAACTGCAGGCTCATAATGTCACCTCATACTTAGAACATACTTGTGCTTTTATAGTCTTGAATAATAATTGAGCTTTCATTCCCTGTCTTGCATAATGACTAAGTTTGGATTTTATTTATTGCATATGCTATCTTGATTGGGTTCTATCATCTATTTTTTTCTCTAAATTGTTCTCATCATTTAAACATTCCATCCATCTGAAGTCTTAGCAACCACCTCTGTCTTGTCACCTGCACTCCCCCAACCCTCAGAATTGAAATGTTTGTACCTTTTTGTCTTTGCACAGCTGTTTCCTCTGTCTAAAGTAGTCCTTTTCACTGTGCAAATTGTATTACGTTGCTTTCAAATATACCACCTTTGAAGTTTTTTATTTTATTTAGAAATATTAGATAGCTTGGGAGGGAAGTTTCCTGATAAATTTCAGCAGGCATTTAATCATACTTGCTACTTGTTTAACCCTGTACTAGGTACTGTGACAGCTTTCAAAGCTCATGGTTATCTCATCTTGGTGAAGGGGTAGTTCATACTTATAAGTAGTTCACTAACATTGGAAGGTATTATACAATCAAACACCTAGAGGAATAATAAAAAAGTAAGTGTCATGCAGGTCATAAGAAAAAAGCTATCAAGTTTAGACTTGATCTATGATATGAAAGATTAGGAGGATTTAGGCGTTCAAAAAGAATGAAGAGGTGATGAGATGAAGTGCAGAAGTAACAGCAGGTGCAAATATCATCTATCTCTATTGTCCATATGGATGGGTAAACAATTGTCACATAGGTCAGTTACAGCCCCTATTACTCTATACTCGTACTAGCTGTATGTAAGTCTGGCATCCTCACTGCTTTATGACTACAATGATGGCAGAGACCATAATGTCCTTATCTACCTAGTGATTTTAAGGGTGCCTGGCCTGTAGTACATGCTCAGTAAACATATGTTTAAATTTTTAAAGGAAAATTGGTTTGAATGAAAAAGCAAGTTAATATAGGGAATAGTGAGTGAATTCAGATTATTGAGGCCTCTGAAAGGCACCTGGGCAATTTCAGCTTCCTTGGGTGGGAGCCACTGGAGTCCCCCATGGGAGTGACAAGATAATGGGATATTTGGGGAATTTATCTGGCAATAGTGTTCAGAATGAATTAAAAGAGGAGAAAGGGAAAAATGAAGGAATAAAGGTGTTGTCTAATCCTCCACCCATCACTCTATCTCTCACCCTCCCATCTCATGCTTCTAGAAAGATCTTTGGCATTTTGTTATCTTCATATCCCATTCACTCCTCAGCTTCTTCAAAATTCTCTTCTGTTCCCACTTCACAGCATTTAACTACTCAATCTCTGCAGTATTTAACATCATTAACATTTATCCTTTAAAAATAGCTCTTTTTTATTACATAATTATTGTAACAAATTTAAACAATACTTAAAATGCAAAGAAGCAAGTAAAACGTACCCAAATCTCCTCTTCCAAAGATAATCACCATTAACACTTTGGTGAACATTCTTCCAAACATCTCTCTAGTCTATGCATACATGCACAAGCAGATGGCTCTGTGCATAGAGATTTACATAAATTGCATCATATAATACTCATTTCTTGCAGTAACTTGCATTGCTTTTCCTAAACAATAAATATAAATGTCAATAAGCATAAGCATAAGCCTGTGTAACTTTTGATAGGGGCATTGTGCTCTAATGAGTCCATAGCATTATTTATATTACAAGTTCTCCAGAGGATGAATGTTAAAAGTTTGTTTCCAGTTTTTACTATTCTAAACAATATTTCAGGAAACACTTTTATGCATTTATCCTTTTGCCATCTGTATTGTATTATTATTATTATTGAGACAGAATCTTGCTCTGTGGTCCAGGCTAGAATGCAATGGCATGATCTTGGCTCACTGAGACCTCTGACTCCCGAGTTCAAGTGATTCTCCTGCCTCAGCCTCCTGAGTAGCTGGGATTACAAGCGTGTGCCACCATGCCTGGCTAATTTTTGTATTTTTAGTAAAGGCAGGGTTTCACCATGTTGGCCAGGCTGGTCTCGAACTCCCGACCTTGTGATCCGCCAGCCTTGACCTCCCAAAGTGCTGGGATTACAGGTGTGAGTCACTGCACTCGGCCGTATTGTATTATTTTTAATAAGCCCACTTCTTCTTTAAATTCTATTATACATTACACATTCTTATAACCTGTCTCTGTTTTGTCCATTGGCTCTAATTTTTCCTGGTCCTCCCACCTCTCTGAGGTTTCTTCTCAGATTTCTTCATGGATTCTTTCCCTGGCCCTGGCTTACCCTTTAAACATTCATATGTAATTGATTTCCTTTGCACATTCTTGCCCTTGTTCTATGTCCTTTTCCCAACCAATCTCATTTACTCTCATAGTTTAACAACTGCATCTAGATGGATAACTACCATTTCCATTTCAGGTAAGATGTCAGGATCTTTACTGCTGACAGCTTTCCTGAAATTCAGATAGATATCTGCTAGCTGCTGCACCCAGCTATCCCAGGCAAATCAGTGTATTTGGTGGATTTACTCTTCTCTCAAACCTACTCCAATCCCTGTACACTCAGCCATTTAGATGTATCATACAAAAGCTTGGGGTTCATTTCTTATTCCTTCTTCTCTCATTGCTCTATGTCCAATCAATCATCAAGTTTGTGAATTCTCTCTCCTAAAAATATTATGAAATGTCTTAAGATTTTCTCAGGAAGCTACTGGAAGATGTGCTGAACCAAAACAAGGGGGTAAACCAAAGAAAGGAAGACATGGTAACCAGGATACAGGGACACCCAAGACAGGAAGCAGAAGAAAGAAACACCCAAGATGACAGGGAAGAAAGTTCCAAGGCAACAGGTGCTCAGCCAGCCCAGGCAGGAACCTGTCTAGGTGGAGCAGGATGATAGAGGACTCTTGGAGGGATGTTGTCAAAAAGGTGTAAGGTGTTTGAATGTACTGGGAGATGTTATTACAGTTTGGCAAAATTTTGGGGATTAAGTGGCGCTTTATAGAAAAAATATATATATACATGGCTCATCTCTGACTAATAATTCCATAATCATAATTATGATACTGTCAACATGGAATATTGACTTAATTGAAAACATAGATATAACTATACTGGAATGATGGAATTTTTAAAAAGTGTTTTGTGTATGTGGGGGCGGGGGGAGGCAAGATTTCTAAGGGGGGCTAATTCCCATCTTCTATTTTAGGATATGAGCTTTTTTATGTTTCATTTTCTAAAAATGAAAAATAAAGAAATGGGACTTAAAGAAAATAATCAAAAGAGTAGACTGGCGTTGCATCAAAGAAGAGGGGAACGGGTGAGAAGAAATGGGAGGGGCAACTCCTGTTTCTCATCATAAGCCCAATAGTACTATTTTATTTGCCTTCTTAAAGTATG